GTCCGCGCGTGTCCACCTCCGCGCGTCCCCCTGGGCTCCCTGTCCTCAGTGCGTCCCCACGGCCCTGCGCTCTGTCTCTCGGGACCCCAAGTCTTAGTATCATTTCGGTACCACAGAACCCCGAGCTTTGTGTGTCTTTGCGTCTCTGTCTTCCTCTGACTGTCAGGATGTCTGTCCCAGCTCCTCCTTCCTCTTCGCGGTTTTGCAACTCTTCTGTCTTCTCCAGGAAGACCCAGGGGCCCCACTGCTGCTGCGGGGAATATGGGCGTGGGATTTCGGGAGACCTTTAGTCCTGCGCGCAAGGTAGTGTGCCCTGATCTCATCCCCAGCCCACATGGAGGACTGTTCTCCTGCTTGTTGTAGCCTTTGTCTTTCTGCACCCAAAGGCCCTCTTGTCCATTAGCTCTATCAGGGACCTGTTGGGCCTCTGCCCCTGACCCCACCTACTTGGCACAGGGATCAGGGCTTGCTGCAGCCATGTGATTCTAGTCTAAGGCGTCATTCATCAGCTAGATGAGGTGGGGGAGTCTCATTGTTTGAAAGGACATGGGACTGTAGGTGTGGGTGGGGTCTTCTTGGATGCGAGGTAATGCATTATTAATGCATTTGCCCATACCCATGTAGAGGAGCCCCCGCCACTATAGTCTCCCGCTTGTCATTTTCTCTGTGAAAAGACCCCTCCCTTCTTCATGCAAAGAATGACTTCATTCCATGTTGTCAGTATCCCCTCACCCCAGCCTCCCTCCTGATGTAGGCTTAGCTTTTTATTTTCCTTTTGGGAGGCGACAGCCTTCTAGATTCTATCAGTGCTCCAAAGTGGAAGTGTACCTTGGTAAGGCCACAGAGTAACAGGGACAGGGTAAAGCCTGACACTCAAGGTCCCTTGGTAGGCCACACCCTGGAGTCTTGGTGGGGACAGGACATAGACTTCAATTCTTTTTTGAAGGAGGCCTGTTTAGCACCTGACCTTCTCAGGCCTCAGGGTCTAGCACAGCTCACATTTAGTGGAGTTCTCTTGTCAGGCAGATACAGCCACCTGGGGGTGTCTTCTGAGGTGGGAATGAATGAACACATAGATTTTAGTGGTTTCTTCAAAAAGGTGTTCAGAGAATGGTTTGTAGCCAAATTAGAGTACCCTTATTAATGGACTCAGTATATGAGCACCTACTGTGTGCCCGCCTGTCATGACCAGCTGTCACTTGGCACAGAATGTCTGAATTGGGGAGGGTCTGGGGGACCATCTGTTGCAAATTCCTCAGCCCTGTGATGTCAGCAGCTCCAGGTAGCCCCTTCATAGTCCCCTCTACACACACCTACCTTTGTTGTTCTTGACCTGAGAGTATCATCACTCCTATTACAGTATCTACTCCTAGACAGCCTGTATGGTCATTCCCTGAGAGCAGTATGCCCATTACCTAGCCTTACCTGGGAACTCACTGCGGCCAGGTGCTCTGTGCATGCCCTGTTAGTTCAACCCTGACACCATACCACTTTTGCCAAGCAGGGATATAATCTGTTACCCATGAGGAGTCTTGTTCAGGAGCACCCAATGAGGAAGTGGCACAGCTGGCTGACCGCTGGCTAGTATGACCCCAGAGCCTCCCTACATACCCAGCCAGGCCTGTTGTGCCTGTTAGCTCCACCACTTCTCCCAGCCTTCAGTCCTCCCTCACATGCCAGGCCCTCTCCATCTTCTCATTCGTAGACATAGTGCTTTGAGGTTTTGGATGTCTGTGTGTGCTGCTGCTTTGTCTACATGGGAAGAAGCTGCTCCTACTCATTTGCCCCCATGCACTTCGAGTTCTCGTTTGAATCTCAGTTCCCTGATGGTACTGGAATCCATCCTCCACACCCAGTCACACAGCCCTGTCCCCTCTGTCCTAGACGATTGGCACGACTGTGGCATTGTAATGAGCTGTATGGCTGTCCCTCCAGCAATCAAGAGCCATGAGGGCACTGCTAAGTTCTCCTGTTGGTGCCTAACATAGGAACGTATACAGAGCCTGTCCTCATAAACATGTTGGGAACAAATGAAGCATTTCCCTGCTGTGTGGATGCCCAAGGAGAATAGAGCCATTGCCTCTTAGAGGAGACTGTTTTTTCCCACATGAGAAATCTGATGTTCAGAGAGGAAGGGGCAAGCCTGGTAGGGATTTACATCCCAGTTGGGTTAGAGCCTTGCATTAGATACTTTTTGAGTTGCTGTGACAAAACACCTAATAAAACCAGCTTCGGGAAGGACTGGTTTGTTTTGGCTCAGAATCCAAGGATAGAGTTCATCATGGCAGCAGGTACTTGAAGCTGCTGGTCATATGGTATCTGCACCAGGAAGCAGAGAGAGAGAGAGAGAGAGAGAGAGGGGGAGAGAGAGAGAGAGAGAGAAATGCTGGCACCAAGTTCATGTTCTCCTTTTTATTCAGTCCAGTACTCCACCCCATGAGATGGGTCTGCCTATATTCAAGGTGGTTTTCCCCACATGGATTAACCCAATCCAGATAATCCCTCAAAGCCTTACCCAGAGGCTTGTTTTTTAAGTGATTCTAGATGCTGTCAATCGATGGTGGATATTATCCATCATAGGCCTGATAGTTGGCCCACACACTCAGAATGTAGGAACTCAGAACCCAGTCAAAGTACTCGACACCTGGCAAGCAGTCAATTACCCTCTCAGCCTGTGGGACAGCATTGCATTTTTGTCCTGTTTTGCTTTTGTGTTTTAGTTTTGTCCTTTGAATTCCATCTTGTCACCCTCACTTTATAGCTGTGACAACCTGTTGGGTCTATTAATAAATTTATTGGTGTTGAGAATTGAACTGAGAGCCTCATGCGTCGTGCTAAACACATGCTTTATCACTGAGTAACCCACCCAGCCCATTATAAATGAATTTAGGTGTTTAAGTAAAGCTTGTTACTCAAAGCTATGCTGTGTCCTCTCAGGCTGTTTTTTGTTTTTGTTTTGTTTTTTTTTTTCTATGTTTTTGTTTTTTCTTCCTGAGGTGGTTCTGAGGTGTCCAGGGAGCCTCTGGGACAGCTATTGTCCGTTTTTGTTTTTTTTTTTTTCTATGTTTTTGTTTTTTCTTCCTGAGGTGGTTCTGAGGTGTCCAGGGAGCCTCTGGGACAGCTATTGTCCTGTCTGAGTCGGTGTCTATTTATAAGATGGGACGAAGTTGCTGGCCCTAGCTGCATAAGGATAGTCACTTGGCTCTCAGGATGAAAGGCACCTTGTAGTTACAAATCTGATTTTTTAAAAAAACAAAAACAAAAAAACTCTCTGTTGTGATGGCCTCAGTCAAACATTTTTTGAGCATTTGCGGTGCGCCAGGGATTGAAGCTGTTTCTTGCTTTATTGCAGGGCACCATCTCTCAGGGAAGAGAGAATACAGCTGTGTAGGTGATTGCCAGGTTAAGTAAAAAGTCTGCTGGAAGCAGCCAAGATTGTGGCTGCCCATGCGAGATTTTGGTGTTCCCATTGGAAACTACTTATGGCTCTGTAGCTCCCAGAGATCTCTGGTCTCCCTGACTGGTTGGGGCCCACTCATGTGATAACAGCCATCTAAAGGCTCACTGTTTCTCATAGGGGTGGGGCTTCTCCTGGGTCCTGGATGGCAACACAGGCAGGGTAAGCAGTTTGCTTCACCAACCAGTGTGAGTTCTGGGGGGTTGGGGCCCACATCTTGCTGCTTGCCTTTGTCTCTGTCTTGGCTGAGTATTTTTGAAGCCCTCAGGCCTGGGTATTGGGCTTCATTGCCTGATAGACGGTGTAGGGGTCCTCCCCTGTCCGTAGTGCTGAGTGCTTTGTGTTCATTCTTTCTGTTTATCCCTGAAGTGTGTGCCTAAGCGGCAGGTCTCTTGGCACTGCCTGGAACACAGGTTTGGAGGGGTGGTATTGTGCCCTCAACCACAAGTGGCAGGGTGTACCTGAGTTTAGACTCTGCACAGAGTAGAGGCCTACCCAGATCTGTCTTCAGTATGCCAGTATGTCCTTGTGTTTGCCAGGTTGGTACATATGCTTGCTTGGCCGAGATGGACCAAGGAAAGGATCACAGATACAAGAGCTAGAGTCGCTGGACTACTCATGGGAAGAGTTTGTGAATGCTATTGGCCTTTGGGGCAGACCTGAGTCTGGGAGGGGCTGGATAGAGGAGTAGATGCTGGGCAATTTGGAGGGGGCTGTGAGTTGAGGCTGGAGCAGTGGTTTGGGTTGAGTGTCTGAGAATTTGGTACTTCTCAGGATTGGCCCAGGGAGCTTTGTAGGGGTGGCCTTGGACCTGGGCAGGTGTTAGGCCAGATGCTCCTGCACCTGTAGCATTTGCCCTACCTTGGCTCCTGTGGAGGGAGGCTCTGCCACCTACCCATTTCACAAGGTGAGGAAGCTGCACTTCAGAGGGGACTGGCTCTCCTGAAGTCACAGAGCTGGGAGGCCTGGCC